CATTATTTCCATATTATTTCAGTTCTCTATATTTCATTGGTTCACTTTAAACGATTCAATTTCCGTCAATAATCGTAGGACCGTTCGAAAGCCCGAAATACAATCTCTAAATTCGATAGGTAAATTTCTTTTCGAACAAATACTCGCACTTCGATCTATTCTTATACTTTCTTTTAACTTGATTTACAAACCACGAGCTACGCGATCTAAATCCCTTTTTCAATCCCTTTTCTCTATCTCCCTTCTCCTATTCCTAACAGGAGAGAAGAGAAGAGAAGAGGCCCGGGAAAACGGATTATCTTTCAGGTTTCGAGAGGAAGCCAAGGAAGGGAGGAAGGAAGGAAGGGAGGAAGGAAGGAAGGAAAGAAAAAAAGAAAGTCCATCGGTCTTACACAGATTCACAGGATCTTAAATTTTCCAATCCCAGGTCTCGAAAGTTTTCTCACTTTTCGACGGCCGTAAATACATATCCTAGGGAACGAAAGTCTCCCCCCGAGCATCTAGCCCTTCGCTCTTTACCTTTCATCCCCTCGTTCGTTTGCAGTTAAAGACGCAAGCTGTTACATAGTTCGACCACCCTTTTGGATAGAGCCTGGGGTCATGCTATGTTTCTTATATTTTTCTTACTATCCTCGTAGACTTTGTCTTTAATATTCAACTAGATCTTTTCTTTTTCTCTATTTCCTCTTGGAAAGTCAGCGCCGGCCGACCGACCGACGAATAGGATAATTTCATTTCCACGAAGCGCCGCGAATTCGAACTTTAATTAATCGAATTGAAGCTGTCTCTCCCTCTCTCTCTCTCTCTCTTTTTTACCTAACCCTTCTTCGACTTTATAGCTCGTCCAGCTCTCAAGGGGGAAGCATCGATTCCGGAAATTAGTAAGATCGCACATGCGGAACACGAAGCTTTCGTTCCATTCCTATATATTCTTCGGTATACATTCGACAATTAGAAGAAAAACTGGAATAATCACCTTGGAAACTGGCCTTGGGATCACCGAGGATAGACGCCAAATTTATTTTCTATTGTTTTGACTTTTTTCGAAAGTCGGAATATTGCGTTCCCATATATGAATATAGTTTATCAAGGTGTATTGTAAGACTCCCACCGAAATCCGTGCAATTCCTATCACGCTTCGATCCCAACTCCCCCTTTTTTTAAGCCCCACTTCCATCCCATTCGTCTTTCTTTCGTTCCTTCTTATTTTTATTTTGCTTTCGATTTGATTCTCGATATCACGTATCGCCGAGAACGTTAGGATTTCATTTTTGACGCGAGAAAATATTTCATTTTAAGAGGATACACACAAACTAATTCATCTAATCTTTTTCTATTCTTCACCATTCATTTCTTTTATTCTTTCTTTTTTTATCTTTCCGACGTTACTCTTACAAATGGTAGCTATAAATTCGATACAATTAGTACTAATTAATATATTGTTTTTCAACTTGTCCTTGTTGAATTCTTCTTTCTCTATCATGCATCGCCTGGAGGATCTTATATTACAAAAGTTCAATCGAAGAGAAAGATATTGTTGCGGGTATTATTTCCCTTTATCGTCGTTTAAATATCTTTTATTCATATTTTGTGCACATTCTCTCTCCCTCCCTCTGTTTTTTGTCGTTGTTTTATCTTTGGTATATTTATTCGCCAATCCCTCTCCCCCAACTCGTGTTTTTCCCTTTTTCTTTCACTCTTTCTCGCTCTCTCTTTTTGCTTAAGTAGTAAACTTGTAAGTGGCGAAATAAAGTTGGAGGTTTCGTGCTCCCGTGGCTGTGACAGTTTAATTAATATCTTTCATCGTCAAAGGAAAAAGTTGCTGAACTAACTACTCGCGTAGGAGCTGCTCGGCAAGGCTCCCCCAAGCCCGTTTCAACCACTTCGGGTTCGAACGCCACGCCCTTTTGTACCCAACTTCAATGATCTCTGTTTACGGCTGATTACAAATATATCATTTCATTTCCCATCCTTACTATTTTTTCATTTACAAATGAAATCATCGAAAAATAATAAGTCAGTATTTCATTTAATCAAATGAATAGATGAGACTAGCGTGCAAAGAGAGAGGAACAACAAAAATTCAATAATTTTAATTCAAATAAAATGGGGGAGTAGTAAAATTAATGTCATAAAAGAAAGCTTCATTAATTGGATCAAAAAAGAATAAGAAAAAAGAAAAAAAAAGGAAACGAGGACGAAAAGTAGAAGAGAAAATCCAATTAAAATCAATATTAATTGGATGCAAAAAACCCATTGTATCTTTTTTCCTTGTTGCGCCGTTGGAATTTCACTCGATCCCAAATAGATAAATATCTAATTTTCAATCGTTATTAGTTTTCATCTACTTAAGGTCCTTGTATCTAATGGCAATTGGTTAAATAATTATGAAATATTATTAATGAATTATCGGGCACGCACCGATGATTCAAAGACAAAGACTTTGAAGGATTTTTCTCGAACGTCCATTAAATGGATAAGGTATTTTTGATAAATCGCTCTACGAGTTCTTGTCCGTCCAAAGTTTTCGACGGTCCACTTGGAAACGCGATGAATCATTTCCCAACGTTCTTCGATGATTCCGTTCGATGGACCGAGAACAACCCTCTCTCTCGTTTCCCCTCTCCCGTTTTCTACTTCGACATCCCAGTGAAATGGATTTCTCTGGTTAATCGGTCGTCTACCCCCTTATTAATGACATTCCTGATAATACGCATTACTAGAAGACGGGACAATACCAATTTGAAGCGAACCCGTGTACCTTGTTTTTGAGAAAAACGAGCGAAAGGAAAAAAAGAAGCGATGGACAACACGTTCAAGCGTAAATCGCATTGCGTAAATCGCATTGCGTAAATCGCATTGCGTTAACTATGTTCCATGGGAACTTTTTAAAGTCGTACGGTTCGGGTGGAACACGCCTCCCTCTTCGACTATACGGTAAAACCATGATTCTTAGAGCTCCTCCCAGTTTTACGATCGAGCAGGAGGAAGGAAAGACACCACCAGAACACCGTTGTACTTTTTCTATTTTCTTTCTTCTTTTTATTCCAAAAGGTCCATCCTTCTCGAATCGACTTTTTCTTCCGCGAAAAGTCCTTTTTATTCTATCCAAATTTCAATCCTAAATTCTTTCCATGAGAGAAGATAAATGTCGACGTATTCCTAATAGAAATAACATGAATTCGAGATATCTTTCGGCATTACCGAATAATGATTTTCCTATTCGGGAAATCTATTTTCTTTTATGGCAAATACGGAACTTTTTATTGTCTATACATCTTTTTATCTATGTATATGGGAAATCTATGGTAGACTCAATAAATATAATAAATCAAGGAGGTGAGAGAAAATGACGACTCGCGTGGGGGGAGGGCAGGGTCCTATCCCTAAAGTGGACCCTTCTTAGCTTGGACTGCGAAGGGTATTGCTAAGTAATTTGCCAGAAAAATTAACCACCCAAAGTAATTTACAGTTAGAGACCCAGTTTAATTTAGAAATATTCGTTATCATCATTTTTTCCAGTTCTTTTGAAAAGATTTTCTGAATACCTACTTGCAAATTTATCGAATACCTCTCAGAGAACGAAATGGAACTCATTTTCTATTCACTTTTAATTCGTACTAATTAATCAACACCAATTAAATAAATACACTAGCATCAAGTATTTAAAAATATTCGTTACTTTGATCTTCGAGTTAAATTAAAAAAGATTTCTCTGAAAAGGTTTCAACGAATTTTTAAATATCTATTTTTGTAAATTAATTGAATATCTGTTAAAAAGCAAAGTTAAAGTTATAGTTATATATATATATAGTTTAGTAACACGATATTAAGTATGTAAAATATATTGACTAGGTGGACGGGGGAGTTGAGTTAAAAATTCGCGCAACTCCTTCCGGTAGGAATTCCTAAATACTTGCAAATTTATTTGATAACTCTTAAAGAACGAATAGCATCCTAAAAATGCACTAACGCCCATATTAGATTCTTCACGTCGCCTCTTCCGAGCGAATACCGAGATGCTTAAGGTGAAGCATATTCCCGTCTGTCAGACATACTATCACTATGTGTACATATATAGCATGTATAACTATGTATTATGTTACTTTACGTGTCAGGTGCATGCTAGATTGTCGACGACGTCGTCAACGTCAAATTGACAATTTGTCACTCCATGCGTATTTAATATTATCAAAATTGTCATTTCATTGCGTACGGAAAGAACACATTTACTAATTACTCTCATCACTTTTTCCATATTACTCCGACTATTAACGAAATCATAACTTGCGTTACGTGGAACACACCGAAATAAATCAAATAAATGGATACATTTAGTGAACATTTTCTAATACTAGATATATATATATATATGTGTATCCGATTAATTAGAAGCGTTAATTAAATAGGGTCGAGGGTCGGGAACAAGAATTATGCTAACGAAATTATGCTGGGAGTGCGCAAAGTCGTTCAGTTGACGACTCATCGACTTACGAAATTTCAAGGAAACCTCCTCCTCCTCCTCCTCCTCCTCCTCTCTCAGTTTCTTTTTTGCGAATTTAAGCTTCGAGCATAATCATAATACGGTTTTATCGTTATGAAGGCACAAGTATACATCGTTCATGAATTTACCTAAGATAGAAGCTACGCGATAGGAGAGTTCTGATCCAACGGAGAAGATTAGTATGACGATAGAATTTGTGTAAGCTTGTTAGAAAAGAGATGCTTGTAGTAGTTGTGCTGTAATAGAATTGCTCCTTTTACTCGATTTCACTAATTAAGTGAATTTACCCTAGCTAAATTCTCATAATTATTTGACCTAATTTCTATGTTACACAAAAGAAAGGTATTAGACCAAAAAATACATTTAAAAATATGGAACCATTTTATTTTCATTTAATGTTTCTAATTAAGTGAATTCGAATAAATAACAAAATATAAACGATTTCTATGAAAACGCGTCGGGGTGATGAATATAAGCGTAATTGCTTATGGTTTACCTTGTAACGTAGGATTCGTTGCGGACGAGGCGTCTTGTCGTATGGAGTCACTGGTAATTGCCGCCCTTCCGAGATTTCCACCATAATCTTCGAGTAGTACGCACCACAGCAATAGTTGTGCCACCCTCATTCTGCGAGCAGATAAAAGCACAGAGAGAGAGAGAGAGAGAGAGAACTCGAAGATGTTTTTTCATTATCCCACTGATCTCTCTTCCACTCAAGTATTAATTACAAATATAATTATTATTTATTCTATTAATAAAATGACGATGTATTATCGTCGTGGCAATTAGAAATGAAAATACTGATTAGATTAGTTTTGATCGTGAATTATATTTACTTCGAAGTATAATTAGACTACGTTACGCATTAACAGAATAGCCTTTAAACGAATTGTTAACTTATATGAATTCCTTAGTACACGTGTTTCTTCGACAAATGTTAATATAACTTCGTAGTTCACTCTAAATGAAAATACAATGAAATTTGCATAGTTAGTTTATATCGTCTGAAGGAAAATTATCCGATTGTTTCGTTATAGCATAGCGGAAATAACAAAAATTCCAATACACGATGGGGGTGAGCTTCGATTATCAGATTGAAACTTAAAGCCGGATGGGGAAGGCTTTTTAAAAATTGCATTATTAAAAAATACCACGAATATGGGGGGAGGGGATTCGCGCTAATGTTCCCTCCAAATTGTTTTTCCGTGTAAAAAGTCCGTCGTCGCGTTAAAGTCGATAATAACGAGGAGGAGGAAAATGTACGGGGGATGCGCCGCCAAGGCTAAAAATAACGATTAATTAACATACCGTCAGATTTTTCTAATTACCCAAATTATCCTTAAAATAGCTCCGTTCGTTCTACTTTGAAAATGTAGCAAACGTTACGTTATTATTAATATTTACGCTTTAATTGAAAAATAATAAAAACTCATCTATTTGTTTCGATAGATTAGAACAACCAACTCGTGTGTTCATTGAACGTTAAAGGTTAGAAAAGATTCGTTTACCGCGAGCACCATATAGCACCCTTTCTTTTCCTATCTTCCTCGATAATTTAATAGTCCTGAAATCGGTGACTTCCCTGCAAACCTTCAAAGGATATCGTCCTCGAAACGTTCATAATACGATTTCGATTGAACGATTCTCCAAGATTAATTGCTACAAATATCGAGACGTTATCCACCACTAAGGATTTCCCTGTACTCCACCCTACTACCCTCGGCACCACCAACTACCCTCGGCACCACCAACTACCCTCGAGCCCCTCACCCTTTTCCGTAACATTAAACTTACTTCACGATCCTATTCAATAAATTCTAACAGTTTTAAAGTAATACCCAGACTCGTTGTAAGTATCGACGAAACGTTTTACTCTTACAAACTCAACGCGCTGATGCTGCGAGGAGAAAGGAGAACAGGAACAAGAGGGGAAAGAGTTACTGGTAGTCACGGGGGAGTAAAAGGGGGAGTAAAAGGGGGTAGGGGAAAAAAGGGCTTGCTGAAATGTTTCGATTTTAGTTGAAAATTCAGACTCTTAAAGAACGTCTTGCGTTACCTTTACTTTTTCAACAATAAACGTCTTTTCACAAGTATAATACTTTTTGCAGCAGCAATATGTACGATTTATGCGTTCTACTACGTTTTAGTATCGATCTAACTTTATTTTTATCCCGAATTTGCCAGGAACGTCTCTCGCAATTTTTATTTTCATCTTCATCTCTCCTCTCCACTCCTTTTTTCAATTCATTAATATATTATTTAACTTGTTATTATTTATTAATCTATTGCAACATTTTCTTCATATTTCTAATTTATTTTGAACTCGTAATAATAATAATAATTAATAACTTTTGTTAATAATACTAAAAAGCACTTGACGTCGCTGATTCCCCTCTCGAAGAAAACTTGTTTTAGACAGTGATAAATCTTTTCCAGTCTTACTGTCCTTTCTACTTTGTCTTCTTTCCCTTTCCACTCTCTTTCTCATTCACTTACTATATACATATTATATCTATATATATATATATATATATACACATTTGTGAAAAGATAATACAACAGTTTCTTCAGCTCGTTTTACAAAGGTAGAATATATCCTAGGATGTTATCACTTGAAATTTACTCGAGTAAAGTTTAGTTTGTATATTCCCACATTTTCTATATTTTTATTATATTGTTTGTAATATTAATTAATTTTCAAAAGAGATCGTTTAATATGTAATATACACCTGTTACGATTTAAGTGTCCTATTCATTATTGTTGGCTTCAATTACTTTCCCACATTAACGGGAGAACAATTGACCATGACAACCATTCAATTCTAAATCCGCAACAATAGATTAGTAGTAAACCCGGTATAAACCACTACTAAGTTCTCAAGATTGTACTTAATGGGTGTATCCTTTAAGCTATCGAGTAAAACAGATTCTGTTTAAAGCTTCAAATAAATATATTTTTAAATGTCGTTACATGGTAATTCCCATTGAATTAATACCCCATTTAAATGTAATACAGATTCCGTTGAAAGGTAAAAATCAATATTCTTTCCACGCTTGAAACCGATTTTTTTGAAATTCTCATTATATTTGGAAATAGAATGAAATGTTAAAGATGGCTCGGTTAGTTGTTCAATATTCCATACGAATATTACTTTAACGCGCAACAATTGATCATGAGAATTGTTCAATCCAACGTAAACTGCAATAAGTTCGCAAGATCGTACCTAATGGAGGACGCATCTTTTAAGCTATCGAGAGTAAAAGGAATTTTATTTTCAACTGATTTTTCTTCGTTTCTATTAGATTTGAGTCATTTATTATCAGCAATGTTATTAACCGCATTGTTAAGTTGGCAGGAAGATTGCACTTTAATGGATGTATCCTTTGTTGCTATCGAGTAAAACAGAGAAACCGTTGAAACATGACTCCTGGGGCGATAGTTGGTCTTCTATCTTGCGTTCTTGGACATACGCACCACAAGAGGAACGGACAATTATCTCTCTCTCTCTCTCTCTCTAACATAGATTCCACCGTACTATCCCAGAGATTCGACTCGTTGTCTGGACAATTTAGTATACCTGCTACTAAAATACCCTACATAAGGTATTTTTTATTGCTTTATGTATTGACCCATTAGCTTTTATTTATGATTCGACTAAATGAAAAGTTTCTATCCTTTTCTTATCTTTTCCTTATCTTTTTGCTATTTTTCGCGATACCCATGAACGTTTTTCTCTTTCATTTTGTTCTTTGACTTTTTCCAAAGACGATATTTTTTCTTCCTTTCTTCCATTTCTTTGGTCCTTTTTCAAGCACTTCTGGACCACCATCGGATTCTTAGCTCTTTATTTTATATCAGCCGAGAAAAAGGATCGATGATCGTGTGTGCGAGAGAAAATATCTTGCTGGTCCAGTAGTGGTGCCTCCAGTAGTGGGGCCTCCAGTAGTGGGGCCTCCAGTAGTGGGGCCTCCAGTAGTGGACTGGATATCTCCAAGGAGTCTGCTTTTCGACATTACCACCATATTTTTCTTCTACATTTTTTTCATTCATTGCGATTTCTGAGAAAGAGATGCAAGGAAGAGGCTGAATTCGAGATGCAGGAAAAGTTGGACGAAACTAAGGGATTTTTTTCCTTCGGTTAGTGTGCGAACGTGAAAGAAAATAAATGAATGACTTGCCTTGAGATTAAATACGCTACTTCTCGAATCGATTTAATCCCATCGACTTTTCCGATATCTTTGGAAAATAAATTGCTGGATTAGTTTCTTTCGTGAAATAATACTTTAAGGACCTTTCCTATATTGTATATTATGCATTACTTGTATAATAAAAAAAAGTCATAGAAATGACATGAAATCTATCTTACTAAGACCGAATCGAGTTACATGCTCTCGTTCCGTTTCAAAATCAACGTAATTTACATTGATCAAGATTCCATTGTAATAACATTTCTCCTATCTCTGTTGAAAATGTTCTCGAAACTTAATTAGTTCGTGAAGTCGATTCGTATACTTATGGTTAGGAAAAGGGATTCACCCTGTCGTACTGACCAAAATCGTAAAACTGGGGGAATCCGAAATGGGATTCTATTTGGCTTCAAATTTTATGTATTTCCGATCAAGAATGCCCTATTTCCAAGTCTATTACCGCACGTATGCGCCGCGTTCGCTCGTTATCTCTCCTGCACGAATGGGAATTGCAAAGTATACTTTTCTACTACAGAATCAGATTTTAGATCCTAACGTGGTGTTCCTTATACATCTTTTATTTCACGCGAAGATAAGAATTGTCTTTCTTTCGAAAAGGTTCGATATATTCTTATGTATCCAATAATTCTAACTTCGTGGATTACAATAAATACGAACTATGAACTCTCTTGAATCACTAATTACAAGCAATCAGAAAGTAATTAAATTGCAATTTGTCGTTGGTGGGTCGTTTGATCGATGGATTTTCACGGTGCAAAGGGTTCAACGGATCTTGATTAAGATTCCTTACGATTTCAAACGACTAAGAACAGAACGTAGTAAGAGAGAAAGAGGACCTTTGACATTTTATTTCCTGAACAAATTCTTCTAACGATTCGATTTTATTCGATTCTATTCGACAAATTTTCTTCTTAAAGGCGAAATATTATTTCGCACACATAAATTCCAACAAGTTTTTGTTTCTTCATCATGCACAGAGAATTATTTTTGTTTCGCATTAACTAAGAGATTCGAATATAAAATATTCGAAAATAAAATAATTCAATATAGAACAGAGCGGTTTGTTTAATCGCTATACAATGAAGTATTACAATTAAATATAAAATTAAAAATGGGAAGAGAAAAGAATGGAAAGGAAAATCAAATGAAATAGATCCATCTTGTTAATTTTTCGAAGATAATCAAACAAATGAAATGAAAATGAGTCGCGATGAAGAACGATCCAATGATGTCACGAACAACTATTGATATAAACAAAAGGGTCTCCGACGTAACATTGATTGGGTATATGAGCGAACGAGCGAAGCATCGATTCGCAAAATGCGCTGCGACAAAATTACCCGGATAATCGTAGAGAGTAATTAAGTCACGAAACAAACGAACGCATTCAACGGATTGGATGCTCGTTATTTAAACGACGGCATTTATTTAAAAAAAAAAAAAAAAAGAAAAAACCAATCGATGCAAGATATTTATCGAAATTACTTATTAATGCGAAAGAAAAAAATTCATTAAACTCCAATTTCGTCGATTAAAACATTTCGAAAATGATATTTATATTTTATTCCGCACGAGTGACTGAATCATAAAAAGATTAAAAACATTTACCTATAGGATGAATAAACAAATGCACAGGAATTAACTCGAAATGATTCGTAAAGTAATTCGTCGTACTTTGTCCCACACTTACTGTACAACATTGATAGACAAAATTTTCGATTCGAATTAGATTCGACTAGGATCGATTAGGAAATTGTGCAAATGAGTTAGTCGAAATCTACAAGAGTTTCTCGAGTAATAGAACGAAGAATGAAAGTTTGACGAGATATTGCCTCTCTAAAGACAATCGGCGAAGGACTGGTTGGTTCCTAGGATATTGAAAATCTTTTGTGGTTTAGTCGAAAAGGTCAATGCTGAGATTCGACGATTCTTTCTTTTCTGTTTTTACAAGGGAAATTTCGATTCCAATTTTTGTCTATTCGAGAAGAAAAGAGATAGATCGCTCTTCATACATATATATATATATGGGGTACAAGTATATTTTTTAAATGATTTTAGGATCTCATCGAATACGAATTAACTAATTATTGATTCTTTTTCCAAATAATTTCGACTAATAGTTGGATTTGCAATGTGCAAAGAAAAAAAAACGATATAACTTTTGCCCCGATCCAATATATATGCATGCACGTGTAGATATCTATGTGTTTCTATAGTGCTTGTTCAGCAGAATAAAAAGTTTACTTTAGAAATATTTCCTACGGAAAGAATGGTAGAATGGTGAAAATGTTAGAAAGCGATATGAACGAATCCCACTTTAAGAAACGATTTTCTTCGCGAGAGAGATACATAGATAGAAAGATAAGGAAAACTTCGAGCATAACTTTATTTGCTTCGTCGTTTTATCATATGAATCGTTTGATCGGATCATTTCAATTATTTCTTATCTTACTTCCTTTTTCTTTTTGTCATTCAATGATTATTACAGATTGTTGAAGATAGCAATGCGTAATCGCAGTAATACTTTAAAGAGAAGAAATATGTTGGAACACGTGACCCTGGTCGGTGGTTCATTACAAAGTATACCCTCTTATACCCTCTTCTTTTGATCTGCTAACCGCCTATCTGTGTGTGTGCATGTTGCCGATAAAGACAATATATTTTTCTCAATACAGATGATATTATTATATAATATCTAATTAACGATTTTCGAATATCTCTCTTGTTTCTACGTTCGGAATTAATAATGATCAGGTCAATGATTAAAATCGAGACAAACATTATAATTATCAATTATCGATAGTTTCTCTATCTCTCTTTCTCTAATTCCCATCTATTCGGAATGAATATTGATTGGAATGATAATTAAAATGAAAAATGATAAATATATTTGAATAATGAATTGAACATTAGGAACATTTGTGTCAATACTTTGCTTTATTTTTCGTTTACTTGAAATATAATAATACGATGATATATGAAGGGAATTGAAAGAAATATTTCTTATAGATTATATAAGAATTAGATTTGTTTTGTGTTAATTTAGCAATCGCGTCGATAATTTATATGCGATTAGATTGTATGCGTCCTCAGACGCATAACTAGGAAACTCTTGTTCGGGCAGTCGCTTTGATTTCACTTAATCGTGCTCTCTCCACCGGAATGCGACGAAACTTCTTAGACATCTGCGATGTTCCCAGAAACTTTGGCCAAGAGCTATCTCTCTCTCTCTCTCTGATTTCGCGTCTCTTTCTCTTGGTAACATACTGGCGAAACACCATGCCAGCAAGTATATGCGTGTGTACCTGCACACCCCTTCCATCCATCTTTCATTCCAAGAGAGAGAACCCAGAATTGCTTAACACTCTTCTCAACAGATTTCATAATTAGATAAAGTTTAAGGACTATCTCGTGTCAACGATATTATACTCCAAATTTTCGACAAATACGAAATATTATTTGAAAAGAAATATAAATCGATAAGTGTATATATATATTTTAGAAAAGAGTTATTTACCTCGTGAAACAAATGTTTCATTATAGTCTAAGGGGTTGTATCGCTTAACTTCATGTGCGTCTGTACGTATCCTCTTTGAATTAGTTTAATAATCATTTTCAAACATTGTGTGTGTTATCAATTGAACACTTCCTCTCGACAAAAACTTATTTGTTTCGGGACACTTGGAACACAGGGTGGAAAGAAGTTTGATCTCTCGAAACGATTAGATCGATGTGCAGCGCGGACGCAACGCGGACGCAACACGGGCGCAACATTCCCGGGCGCCGAAACGCGCTTACTGAGGACGGCCGATGTTCCCCTTGCCGGGAAACTCGTTGCCGCCCGCGCGCGCACCTTCCGCCCCTCCCTCCCACCCTCCTTCCTTCCTTCCTTCCTTTTTATCATTCCTTCTTGCACACTTTTGCTTTTACTCCGTTGAAATTGTTCAAAACAATTACAACATATTTTGTATTCGCTCGAGATGTCGTCCAGTCTCGTCGTTATTAAAGACAATTTGTAGAGAAATTACTAGACAAAATCTAGTGATTTATCGAAAAACGTGCATTCGCGATTCTAAGATCGATGCATCCTTAGATTAAGGCAAAAGTCATGATAGGCGGTTGCGGTGAAAGGATAGTCATTGGAATAGATAGATAATACCAACAAAATAAAATCCTTTTAAATCTCTCGGCGATATATTTACAAATGGTAATCTGATCGGTCGTTTTTTATTTTGAAAACCGTATCCAAGGCACCTGCGTCTCGACGAATTTTTATGGCAACGCTTACTTAACTTCACCGAGCATTTGTCCGAACGGAAGGAACACTTATCTTGACGTCTCTATTTTCCATCTTTTTTTCTTCTTTTTTAAAGGATAACGTATCCAAAGATGTTCAACCCTAGACGTCAAAGCAAACAAGGAAAATTTGGAATTTGGAATGAAACGTTTCTGCTTCTTACAAATTTTCAAGTATTTTATGAAAAATCATTAAGGAAAATAAAAATAAAGAAAGGAAAAAAAGGAACAACAGGATAAGAAATGCAAGACGAAGGATTACTAGCATATCATTTTGAAATATTTTGTTCCCTCTTTCTTTTTTACTATTTACATGAGATTTCTAAAGAGTTGTAGAAGCGTACCGAGCGTTATCATCGCAACCTTCGAACGATGTATATTCTTTTTCTATATTTTTATATATGTATCACATACACATTCGTATCTATACATGCACACACACACACACACACACATGTATATATATATATTTTTTCTCCAATCTCTTGCAGTTCATATACAAATACACACATTTATCTATTTCTCTTTTAACATTCATTTCACGATTTACGTATACGTTACGTATACATTCTTCCGCCGAGTGTCTAACGTAAAAAGTAAGTATTAATATTACTAATTATCGAATAATAATAAAGGATGAATACGATTTGCTAAAATGTTAATTTGGAATGCAAAACGTACGATTATGCAACAACACATAAACAACACATTAACTATACGAATATAAATATGAAAATTATTGATTAGGTAAATGAAGTTATTCATCTAGCGAAAGAAAAATGAACAAATAAAAAGAAAAGGAAAAAGAATCAAAGTTCTTATCCTTAAGTCATTTTACAATTATCTCGCTCATATTTTAGCTAAAACGATGGATGTAACGGTGAGAGAGTGCAGCACTAGGAGCCCCTTAACGCGTTAGACGAAAATTTATGATGGTCGAGTGTTCTCCCCCTGTTCATCCAGTACCTCAATTATGACAGTGAGAAAAAGTATACATTAAGGAGAAGATAGCCGAAGCCCGAGCTCGAATAGGGCTCGTGGTTGAAAACACTGTGAAAGAGGGTTAAGATATGTATGGGGTGTACGTAGAAAAGCGCGTTGCAAAATGATCGTTTAAGCTTCTCAAGTCGAGCATAGATTAATGAACAACTCGAGAAGAACCTTCGTAAAAAAAAAACTCGCTTTTAAATGTAGGCATTTAGATTGTCAAAGCGATTTGTTTGGAAATCAAATGAGAAAAGAATCCTAACGCGATTGAAAGAGTCAAGCAACGCAATGGAACCTTTCGATTATGTATTTCGAATTGCAACCTCGATCATAAATCCATTAAGTAACGTCTGCTAATGTAAGAGACGAAGGCAGAAACAGAGAGAGAGAGAGAGAGAGAGAGAGAGAGAGAAAGCATGTTTCCGCAGTCGCGTGATAAATGTGTTAACTTTAAACAGATATATATCTTACCGGGGTGATTAACAACGTTCTAAACTGCCATACCGATTTAACTATGCCAATAACACTGTATTCCGACGTCAAGTAAGTAATAGTATTAGAAACAAAGATGCTGCACTACTATTGTTATCATTATTACCTTGATCACTCTTTTTCTCTATTTCTTTTTATTTAGAAGCAACTTTTTCTCATTGTTTTTAGGACACATCTAACAATTTACGATAATTAAATGGAGATATTCATTATTGGAAAAAGTTATTGGAATTTTATAATAGCATGCACTTATAAAGAGTTGCATCAGAGTTGCGTCAGGGTCCAGCCTGCGGAAAAAAAACAAAGGGTCTTGATTGTTACAATATCGATCTATCCAATTATAAAAGAAATTATTATACTTTTGTTCTTTTTGGAAGAATTTGGAAATAAAGAAGTTTCCGAGAGCCAATCGAAAGCCGCACACAAAATTACGATCGAGCGTGATACATACGTCAAAGCTCGCATTAGAATCGGTCGAACGCTATATCAAGTTACTCCAGCACAGAGGACTTGGTAAATAATGGTCAGTGGAAACGCTTGGTCGATACTAAAGTAATCACATCCGCTATAGGTTTACAACTAAACTCACAAAACGGGCTTCGATCTCGCAAATACACATGTATCCATGCCATCGATCCAACAGAATTTCTAATTACCTTATTATATTATCCGCGATATCCTTTTTCGTGCGAGCATATTACGTTCCTCGTTAAATTTACAGACCAGGTGTATGTTTACTTTATCCTGCAGATTTTTATTCTACTCGTTGTCAGTCCCTGATAACAATTGCAAATTACCAACTATTCCGACGTCTTAGAAAATAGAAAAAAGAGAAGGAGATTGCTAGGTATGAAAGAGGTACAACATATTCCCGAGTTCTCGTACTCTTTCTCTCGTCTGGAGAATGATTCGAAACTGTATTATTTTTCCGACACTTAAGAACGCATTGTTCCAAAAGAATATTACGACACGGGGGAAGCGGGGTTTAGTAGATCTATGTTATCTATCGTTACGAGTCTTTCTATCTTTGCTTTTTTTTCTCTATAAATTTAATATTTTTTATGCATACGCAGAAAAAGGGAGAACACGGTCGCATATATTTCATAAACAAAGTATTATACTACGTGACTACGCGTATTTTGTTTCGGCTTATCTTTGGCCGCTCACTCACGATCGAGAGTTAAATCGTTTACTTCGAGAGTCCCTCTATTCGTCAAATTTTGTCAAGAAAATACAAAAGTAGCATGTGCGTTATAATTTAATATTCGAACGCTATTGTTTTTCATTTTTATTTTCCTTCTTCTTTCTGTTTCTTTCTGTTTCTTTTTGTGTTTTTCATTTACTTTACGTAAAATCCCTTCTCTTTCATGTTCTCTAATACTCCATTAAATTTTCTCTCATCCTGTCTAATACTCTCTTATAGTTTCTTTCTTTTTTTTCTCCCTCTTTCTTTCCCTAATTTCTACACCATCTCTTCCGTAGTCTCTCATATTCTTTCCTTTTCTTCTTCATTCGGTCCTCGTTGTATAATCATTCTTTTTTTCTAATGCACTCTAATAATAGGCTATTATAATTTCTCTCTCTCTCTCTCTCTCTCTCTCTCTCTCTCTCTCTCTCTCTCTCTCTTTCCTTCTATATATTTTTCTTGATATTCAATCTATTTTTCCGCACTGAATAATTATTTTAATACACGATCATTTGCTCGTCAGTCAATTTCTTTCTCATCGCTCGACTACTATTCTCATATTCTCTCTCTTTTAAACTCCTTTCTCATACTCTTTCATTCTCCTAGAATCTTCTTTTCTCTTCGTATATCTTTATATATAAAATGTTAGCGAATATCCGCGTAAAATTTTAAAATACTTCTGTAACATAGTCTCCTTTCAACGATTTTACGAAGTATTTCTCATAGCGAAACGATCTCTTTCTTTTCAGTTTTCTTCCTTTATTCTCAAACGAAACACGTCAGTAAGTATGTATCGCGACACGACTGAGAGGACAGAAGAATCGAACAATTTTAGATTTATTTATTTTACTCTCTTTTCCCATTTTTCTCTTCCTTTCTCCCTCTCTCTCTCTCTCTCTCTCTCTCTCTCT